ATACTCGACAAAAATCTATATTTTTGTATCTGGATAATATAATTTTAAACTGTCAACAACAAAAATAATCAAGCTATGAAGTACAACGCCTGACATGAAATGATGTATATCAAACATGTTTTGGTGACGCTTTCCGAAAAATTGATTTAACGTTAATGTGGTGTTCAAGCTTGACAGACATTTCCGAAGCGAACAATCCATTTGTGCCACAATGCGTCTGCCATTAAATTGTTTATATCGATTGTTATCCAAGGTTTGCTTTTTGAATAGCATCTCAGTTACACTATAAAATTTGTCTACGTCAAGGCTTTAGAGAAATTCTCAACATTTCAATAACTATACTTCCATAATTATTTAATGGGACAAGAAGAATAAACACCATTGATTCTTTTACTAAAAGATTGATAAAATTAATCCGGAATAAGTTGTTTCATTATATCAAAATAGGATCACATCCGTACTGAATAGAAATGAGGAATGAAGATGTTTTTTAGTGATTGATTTTGAAAATAGAAGTACAGCTGTATGGGTCAGAGGATGACCTGAAAACAAGAACATTGAACAATGAGAATAAAATTGGCAGACGTACGTAAATTAACAACAGAAAACGTAAAAGCATTAATTAACGTTGATGTGCTCTTCTGTGTTGTAGTGTTTTTTTGCCACAGGCGGGGTTGATACTCCTGTAGTATATATTGACTAATGATATTAAGAGTGCAGCACAAAATGAAAACACCAATTTGATCTTGGTGCAATACTAAACATTTGTCCCAATAGGTTTTTTACAATGCACAATTGTGATTGGAAGAAAAAGATACAAACGGATGTACAAAACAAGTGTTAATTATCATGTCCGTGGGATAAAAGGATGGGAGTTTTTCATCTGAATCTAGGCTTCGGCAATAAGTTATGAATTGACGAACAATCTTTATACAGAGTAATATCATACTGCTGACCGCACCTACTAAGATCCTTAGGTAAACCATACAAATAACATTACAATACAAACAGGATGCACACCAGACATATATTACATAGTAAATATCTATATATAACGTGTCTCAGATACGTACAACAATTCCTGGCTGTCGTGTCCTAAATATATATGCTGAAGATATATCTGACTGTAAATCAGTTTATACCATTTATCGGAAAGACGTAACTGATGTATATAATGCATCTATATTAATGAATATTTTTTTCTAATCAACAGTCTCAAATTTTGTAACAATTGTCTTTTATTTAACGCCATTTTCTATTGTACTGCTAAAACCTTCCAGAAACCGAATTAGCCAAATATTAAATGTAGTCATGAATTTCAATAAATGATTTAAGTACTAAAAGAAAATACCAACATGTCAACTTTATCATTATCCAAACTAAAATTCCGTCAAACTATGGCAAAATATGAACAAAAGAAAGATTTACACGAAGACTCCTGCAAAACTACAAGGAGAATAAAAACCGTGTGTTTCGGAACGGAAAGACATCTGCTACATCGTCGATGACATCAGCCTTGTAAATAAATAGTCACACAGAGGTATGATATTTCCCCATGAGACCACTATGGCGACCATAAAATTTCCCCAGAATTTTTGTCAACCCGCATCTTTTGAAAAACTGTATTATGATTTTGTCGGTCAGTTGCCGAACCACATACACTGACATACCTGTAGTATAAACCATCTCAGCAGAGGATTAACCAGCAGGCGATGAACTCGACACATATGAAGGTATCAGTCAACATGTTGACGAACATATCTATGCGATACTGAACCGAATACAGAGACAGAAATTCAGGCATCTAGATTAAACCATATTTTTCTTTTTTTGTAATCTGATTAGCATTCTTTGGAGGTAACTGACAACGATGACTGTGGGTTGGTAAGGAGGATTAAGTTCTCTGCTCTGGGGCAATATAGTAATGACTGACTTAAATCGGAGGTGCTCAATGATGATGTAAAGACCGTTGAAAATACCAACAGGTCAACATAATCATAATCCAAACTCTAATTCATTAAAACTATGGCAAAATATGAACCAAAAAAGATTTACATGAAGATTCATGAAAAAGTACATGGAGAATAAGACCGGGTGATCAGGAAGAGTAATCGTCTTCTATTTCTGCTTCGACGAAAGCCGCAATTTAAATCTTTGTCAATTCAAGTAAGTAATGTCACGTTCCAAAAGTGTACAACAACGGACCACATCAGTATGCATTACCATTGAAAATATTGATGATAATCCTTATGTTTGAGAAGATGTCTCGGTTCGGATTAAACTAATGCAGGGTCAGCATTTCATATTATCATACATAAGATATTCAAAGTAAATAGAGATATAACTATCGTAAAATCAAACGTGTCACAAATTGTTCATTTTCATTGTTTATATTAAGGTATCGGCTGATCTAGAAGAATTGACTTTGTTCTAAATTACAAGATCAATAAACTGCTACTCACACGATGAAAGTGTGACATAGTTTCATCCCTTGTGACTTGGTTCGAATTCGTAACTAGAACTAATGTTGTCGCCGAATCTAGAGGTATGCATGGCACATTTTGTAAATATGTAACATTTCTTTATGTAACATCTCACAATAATGAAAAAAAACATTTTACAGCTTAGCATGTTAAAAACCAGATTATACCGTAATAATGATGGATGTTGAAGTGTACTAGAACAATCATTTAATTAGAATTTTAAAGGATATATATTAATAGCGAAAAGCCTCAGGTTTCGATAAATTTTTTAATGAGAAATTTAATTTGATTTTGAACAAGAAAATTATATCATTAAAAAACAACAACAACAATAAAATGTTCTGCCCTTATGGTCGAAAACGATGTATGAAGGTCTGATGGCTACCATTTCCTTTGAAAGGGATGATTGAATAAAATCACAAACTGTACACCAGTAAAAAAATCCACAAAATTTCATATACACGTGTGCTTAACGTTCGTCTGAAATTATAATATACATGAAAATTACTATATTTTTATAATGGAACAAGTGCACTTTCCTATCTAGATTTTATAAACTTGTTTACGCTTAAAATTTTCCTCAGTCTCCTCCTACGTTTCAAACTTTGTGCCCTTAGCATTATTGACGAGCCCTCAAGGGACGAAACGGCTGCATTATACAAGCTTAACTAATTATCTGGCTCTACTGTATCCATTTCTAAATTTGTATTCAAACGTGTCATTCACTTAAGTATCTTTTGTACAATCTTATTAAGTGCTCCACTGCTGCTTAGAATTATAGATAACAAAGAACCCTTAAACCTCGAAAATAAGCCGACCTAAAAATACCTATACTGAAAATAAGCCTGTAGTTTCCTACATATATAAACCTGCATTTGATTACTTCTAAAACCCGTCTTATTTTTGGGTTTTACAGTATAATAAAAAAAACTTTCATACAGAAATAGCAGAAGATTAAGTTGTTTTTCTCGTGTTCTCTGAAAAGTGTTTCTGTAAAACGGAAAGCACAAAGTTGTTAAAACCTTTTTAACTCGTAATATTGCTTCATATCGTTATCATTCAGCAAATCTTCATTTAATACTTGACCGGATGACCTTGATTTATGTAAAAAAAATAATTACCAATAAAAATGTTCTAATTTGGTCTATGACGAAATACCGTTGATTTTTCTACTAACTTTCATAACCATGATTATAAAGAACAATACCCAGCTTTTTGTTTAACACGCTATCCAGCAATTCATTGTAATGTATATATCTTTGGTGTTTGATTCACATTCAAATCATACAGATATGTTATTATCGAGTATATTATCAATATTGCTTCTAACCTAGTCAACTGATAGTCTTAATGATTGTAAGTGTAGAATTAAGAACCAGCAGACCAAAAACAAGAATCAGACTGTTTCCTACTGCTATTTCGTCCTGCAAGGACTCATCAACAATTCCAAGAGCTTAAATTTTAAAACAGGGGGCGACTGCAAAAAGTCAAAATTGATAGAAAAGTGTTGAAATCGTGATGGCGAAATGAACTAGTCTTTTAATTCAATAAATTTCGTAACTTTCATGTACCTGATAACAAACAAGAGGCCCATGGGCCTTAACGGTCATCGGACAAAAAGCAAGCCAAACCTAGAAAGTGGGTTGAGGTCATTCATTTGAATAAACTTGGTAGCCTTTCCTCCCAGCATGCTACAGACCCAATATCGGCACTCACAGACTTTTGCTTATTGAGATGAAGTCCTTTGTATATTTTAACATATTTGACCCCTGTGACCTTGAAAGTGGGCCAAGGTCATTCATTTGAACAAACTTTGTAGGGCTCCATGCCAGCATGCTATGGGCCAAGTATTAGCCCCCTAGGCCTTCTAGTATTTGAGAAGTTATTTAAAGATTTTAACATATTTGACCCCTGTGACCTTGAAAGTTGTTCAAGGTCATTCATTTGAACAAACTTGATAGCCCTTCATCCCAGCATGCCACAGACACAATATCAGCAATCTGAGCCTTTTGGTTATTGAGAAGTCGTTTAAAGATTTTAACATATTTGGCCCCTGTGACCTTGAACGTGGGTCAAGGTCATTCACTTGAACAACTTAGAAGCACTTCATCCCCGCATGTCACAGGCCCAATATCTACACTCTGAGCCTTTTGGTTAATGAGAAGAAGTTGTTTAAAGATTTTAACATATTTGACCCCTGTGACCTTTAAAGTGGGTCAAGGTCATTCATTTGAACAAACTTGGTAGAGCTCCATGCCAGTATCCTCTGTGCCAAGTATTAGCCCCCTAGACCTTCTAGTATTTGAGAAGAAGTTGTTTAAATGAAAAGTTTACGGACGGCGACGGACGAAGCACGATGGCTATAGGTCATCTTGACCCTTTGGGTCAGATGACCAAAAAAGCAATGTCAAGTACGAGTACCACCATAAATTCTTGACCATGCCACGACTCAAGGAATTAACTCCTGTATAGAGGTTAAGCAAACCTCAGGAACTAAGGAATTAAAAACGACTTCAAACCATTCGGGAAGGCCCATTTAATATTCAACAACACCACACACTACACATTAACATTTAAGACATTTCAAAATACTGATGTATTATGTCAACAAAATTCTAGTGATGTTTAAACACTGTGTCGGAATTATACCATTTTTATATTATATTTTGACGGTGACAAATATCAATCGAAACAAAACTTCAGATTAACCATGACTAGTCTTGTGGGATAAAAGGAGACGGGCAACATTTACTTGTGGTCTGGATTACAAGAGTATTGTCCCTTGGTACTGAGATATTTACTAGCAAAGATAATGGAATATAAGAAATGTACATATTTCTTTAACATCAATAAAAAGAAACTAGCGATATCTGTGTGCTTACACATTTTTTTTTTAATATATAAAGATGCATTTCCATCATACTTCTGGTACATTTCTAAGCCATGTGGCAGTCTGTGGTATACAGTATAAACCAGGAAAGTATTATCACAATACAATAACCTTAAATGCCTCACTGACAACAACATTCATTAACACTTTTAGGCACTTTGTCAAAACACAAGAGTTTAATGGAAGGAAAATATACAGATAAAAACGTACAACTTAAGATATCATGAAATAAATCTATTATTTCATTTAATAAAATCCCATCGTGTGTTTTATGCATCCTGTAACATGGGAAGTTTCACTATTACTTATCACAGTGTTATCTTTTAAAATCACCCGATGTATTTACAGGAGCATTTCCAATTTTCACACTGTATTAAGGATCACATGGCAGTCATACAGCACAAAACAGAGTTTAAAGTAACCTTCCAAAGTCCTTACAGATTGACTAGCATCATCAATAAAACACGTGTTAAAAACTGCCAATGCTCTCATTGAATGTGTTGATATTATAGAAAAAAGCATTCTACAGTTAACTAAATGGACTATTCCCAATATGGCTTGTTGACTGGAAGTCTGAAAGAGCCAAAGAATTATTATTATTTTGAAAATGGGGCATACAAACATTTTTCAACCTATGCAATGACAAAGGATCCTGTAGTAAGTACAATTAATTTCCCGAAACCCGTCCCTCCCAAAAAAACTACTGAAAAGATCGCATCACAAAGTCATTCATCCATTTACTAGCTGCTGAATTACTTCTCAGTGGCATAGCAAATTCTTTTAGAAGTGTATGCTTTCAAGAACGGGTCCAAGAGGGAGGGGGAGGCTGAAGCTGTCAGATTTCAGTTAATCACGAATATTTTTTACCATTTACACCAACACATTTTAATTAACATAAATGAAAAAATGACAAAATAATTTTTGTTAACAATAATCGCTGTTTCGAGCGTATGCTTAGGCATACAAGCATATATTATTGGCACGCCACTGTTCATACTGAGTGTGAGCTACTCGTGTTCTTGATAAGCAAACAATACTGTTAGGGCATGATGTCATTTAATCTAATTAAAACCATAATATGTCATTTTTGTATAAGGTAACAACATGTATAGAACACAAAGTGAAATGAGAGATCTGATTAAATTGGATTTTGTTTTAGAAAACAGTTTACAGAGCTAACCAAAGATATATGTTGATCTTTTTTATATCACTTAAAATAAAATGGTAGCAACACCAAACTGTCTATACAATGTGTATAGTTTATGGCCTAACATAATAAAGGCAGTTTTTAATTTATTTCTATGCCAATGCATTATTTATATTAGCTCACAAATAAACACATTATTATGCACTAGAATTGCAATGAGAAGTGTAAATTTTCGTGGAATTTTTACAAGTGACATATATTGTTTTTTCCTTTTCTTCTCCAAGCAACTGGTTTATTTTGAACTGGATCGCGTAAACGTGCCATATGATTTTGCTGCTATACTATACATCAAGTCCCTGCGAACTTCCATCGTCTTAACAACAACATATTTTTTCAGCTCTGAAAGATATGACAGTTTAGTGTTTCGTTCTGGCGGTTTCTTTGTTGCAGTTGACACCATGGGCAATTGCATACCTGGGAAAGTCATTGGTCTATTAAGAGATTGAATGTAGCGAACAGTAGGCAAACCATCCAATCCTACCAAAGGTATTCGTACATTTTTGCCTTGGACTTTGATCGTGTAGTACCTCTTGGCCCTAGGAGGCTGCTTTAGTGTCTGTGGAGGTAATTCACATGGAACTACCAAAGGTGATACATTGGTCTGAATATCTGAATGTGCAGTGTGTTCTCTAACTAAGGTGGTGGAAGCAGACTGACTGCCAAGAGAATTCAAACCCACACTGTCTGATCCAGTTTTTGCATAAATTTTGGGTTCCAGGTTGGAAGTTTCTTCCTTTATACTAGCTTTTCTGCAATTTTTCACCTGTGCACTACAAGGAGTCCTTTGTCTTGACAGGAACCTATGTCTGCAACTTTTTGTACATTTTGAGCCTTCCATTCTGCCATTTTTCAATGGTTTTTTTTCTAACACAACACGACAAGGAGAAAGGAGACATGGGTCTGCCTTCATTTCATCTGGCAATTTAATTGCATCTAGATTCTTATCATTTAAGATATCAGAATGAGTTTCTGATACTGATTTTTTGGAAAATTTGATATTCTTACATACCTCATCTTTTTCATGAGTGTTGGCAATATCTTGCATTGACATGTTGTGATCATGTGATGTAAGCGAGAACACAGATGCAATTTTAAAAGGGATAAGGGAATCTTTCTGTTGCAAGGAAAATGCTGATGACATGGACTCAATCTCCTCTTGCGACTGTTGTAATGGTTGTGAATCTGATTTTTCAAGAGAAATTATTTCTTTAGACAAAGATCTACCTTCTGGTGTCTCAGAGGTGTGTTTACGTTTCCTATTCCTTCCTGTCATCAAGTCATCTGCTATTGGAGACCAGTTTATTGATTCTAGACCAGAACTAGATGATTTAGATGAATAGGTTGAGTGGCTTATACATTTATCTTCTGTAGAATTATATACAACATCATCTAATGGTTCAGATTTTATCCAGTCTGTTTTTCCAAACAAAGTTGAAGAAAATTCTGCATTGTTTTCAGGCTCAGTTTTGATTCTGACTTGACTACCAGGATCTCTAGAAGAATATTCAGCATCATTAGACGGCTCAGTTTTGATTGCAGTTCCATCTGGAAGTAGGAATGATGTTTCATATGGAAGTAGGACTGATTTAGACTGATTACGAGACAAGCATGTGGAATTATTTAAGCATGTGTCCATAGGAAAATTGTGTGATCCTTTCGGTATTTTGTTTTCACATTGCATCAAGTTCACAGAGTCAACAGAGCCAACGTCTGTCTCAGTTCCAACCGTTGTCCATGGTGTCTCGTTTACACATTGATTCAAGTTGATAGAGTCAACAGAACTTAAATCTGTCTCTGTTCTTTCTGTTGCCTGTGGTGTCTTGTTTACACATTGCTTCATGTTCAGAGAGTCAACAGAACCAATGTCTGTCTCTGTTCTTTCTGTTGCCCGTGGTGTCTCGTTTACACATTGCTTCATGATCAGAGAGTCAACAGAACTTAAATCTGTCTCTGTTCTTTCTATTGCCCGTGGTGTCTTGTTTCCACATTGCTTCATGTTCAGAGAGTCAACAGAACCAATGTCTGTCTCTGTTCTTTCTGTTGCTCGTGGCACCTTCAAGCGAGTCTGTGGACATAATAAACTTATGTTATACTTCTCTGCACTCTTGGACCTAGATAAAGAACCAATGCCTGTTTTCTTTCCGACTGTCGTCTTAGGTGCCTTGCTTTTGCATTGCTTCAAGTTCACAAAGTCACAAGTTTTCTTCCTTTTTGTTCTTACTTTTGATTGGGTTTTCAGACGTAACAAACTTACTGTACATTCCTCTGCACTTTTTGATTTTGATGGCGATCCAATGCCAGTCATCTTCACTGTTTTTTTCTTTGCCTTGTTTTTACCATTCTTTAAGTTCATAGAGTCACATGTGTTCTTCCTTTTCATTTTTGCCTTTGACTGAGTCTTTGAATGTAGCAAATTTTCTGTATACTTAACTGCACATTTTGTCTCTAATCCTACTGACATTGACTGTGTGTTACTTTCCTTTAAATCTACCCATGATACATCTGCCAAATATCTTATAAGGGAGTCTTCATTTGCCAGTAATGGCTGTGCAGGTGATACAGTTGAACTCTCGCAATTCGATGGTGTGTCTTCTATCCTTTCAATGTGCTGATAAGATTCATCAACCATGTCATGAGAATTAAGGCTGTTTGGTTCATTGATATTGAAATTAAAAGGTGAATTACCTTGGTGAAAATCAGAAGATGAGGAAACTTCATTGTTGAAAGAGTCAATTTCAGACATTTGCAAAACATTGTCCACTTTGTCAGACCTGCAAACGTTGTTACATCCATTTACAGCTGATGTAGTTACAGATGTTTTCAAACAGTCTGTCTTAGTATTTTTATCTTTGCTCATCAAGTCATCAGTTGCAGTACTGTCCATACACATGTTCGAAAACTTTTCAATGGCCACCACAGAATTTGTAGATCCTTTTTTCTTTTGTGATCTTTTGATTGGTCTTACACTCAAAACACCAAGACACTCTTTGAACATTGTGGGAATTTTAGAATCCTTACATGTGACCACTTCACTATGCATTTTCCCTATGCTTCCTTTTATCTGTAAATTGAAGCAATGAAAGCCACATTCCAAATTGCTGATATCATGGATTTTTTTCTGTATATTGTTTGGCGTGGCTCTATCAGCTGAACAGTGTTCTTCATCAAAATGTTGAAGATTTCCATGATCATCAAAAATCCAATGATCAGTATTGCTGAAAATTTGAAATTAAAAAACAATTAACAGAGAACAAATAACATAAGTATTCAATTTATATCACAAGACTCTTAAAACATTTAAGGTTTTTTAAAATAAACAAGATGCCTAAATGGTATGCATCATTCACCCATTATTCAAATGTTTACACTGAAAATAATAGCCACATAGATAGGTGATTGATCTATATTTAAGATATCAATTTACCTGATCAAAATCCAAGCATTCCTACAGAAGAAAGATTTTAAAGAAATTTCTCTATTTCCCCTATTGGACCCTGCCCGTCCCTGCCAAAAGGGCCAAGACCCACTGTTGATTTCCCTTCATCGGAATTTTTTTCATTTGCTCTATTTCCCGTTTTTGGTCATGGTTCTCCTAACTCAGGGGGGCCAAAACCAACTTCTTACAAAAAAATTATTCTACTTCAGTCAGAGATGCTTCAGAAAATTTGATCAAAATCCAATCATTCATACAGGGGGAATAGGATTATGACAGGCCTTTTTAATTGATATCTAATAAATGATATGAATTATGGAAAGCCATGTGGAGCAGGCATAAAATTACTGGGAATACCACTTCTGTACAACAACTTCATGGCCGATATTTTGTGTGAAATTTGCACACTTTTCTTAACACATATGTTATGTATAGGGTTTGCTTTACAACTGGTCTCTGCATGCAGGGCCACTCAAGCTTCACTTGCTACTTTAACTTGTGCAACAATATCAAGTATGATTTTTTTTCTAAATACTGAAAGCATTATAAATAATACCCATTTCTAAGCTACATTTTGTAGCATTTTGCAGTTTAAGTACTTATCAGTTCTCTGGACTGGTGTAACTCAAGAATGAGAGGATGAATACATGAATAGTCTTGTAACTGACAGGGCATTACAACATAAATCTGTTAGCTTTAGTTATCTTTTAAAAGTACTTCATCACTTAACTGTACTTAGCACATCAATGTGACATATTTCTGAGGATTTTTCAGTGGAGTTTCAGTACATCATCTGTCTCAATATTAAAAATATATCCCATGATGCATCAATTCATCATGATGTAGTATTCCAATAAACTGTACTGTACATGTTGTTAAGTGACATTAGAGAATAGGTTACCAACAGTTTTAGAAGTTTTTTTTTTTTTTTTACTAATGATGAGCAACATTACGTTATCAATTTTGTAATCAGGATTGACCATTGCTCTCTGCTCCCATTTTTTACCACCAAATGCAAGGTACTGTGCATTATATATATGAATGCATATGCCATGAAAATGTACGTGTGTCGGGTGGATTCAGAAACTTGAAGTATTAGTATAGCTTTGTTTTCTTTTGTTCACCTACACTTGCATACGCCCCAGAACAAAGGCACCAGCCCGATAACAAAAATCGTCTAACGGTCATTTTAATCTTTAACCGTTGTACGTGTTCCAGTCATGATCGCCATTGATCAGTCCTGGCATAGTACTGGAGTCCAACGTTTTATGTACGAATTAATATACCGATATACAGAGTATGGTAATACAATAGCAGTATAACTTTATACATGTAAAAGCTTTTGTAGTTAATAACAGGGACGTATATGACTGACATATACGTCCCTGTTAATAACAAGGCTCGACACACTCCAGTTATTGTTATTCCATGTAAATTTATTTATCATGTTATAGTTTTCTGTGAGAATCAAAATTATTGAAAACTTTACCTCATCCTAATGCCTAATTAAAAACTGCATGAAGACGTTATATTCTGAAGAGCCGGTCCGTTCAGCTGTTTAAACTTCTATTTAGAACTGGTGGCAGCCATCTTGGTGAATTCAGTGTTATCTCCCTTGCATTGGTGTCAATTCAATTGAGTTACCTCCCCTATCGAATAAAAAAATTACGTCATAGCTTATACACAAAATCGATTTTTGCGACATAAAAACTACACATTGCAATACTCAGATAAATCTACATTAAATCTCATAAGTTGAATTAAGTGAAAATGTTACATCATTCTGCTTCTAAACTGACTTGTATTCATTTAAACCCAAACAAAAATTAACCAGTTTTTGTTTTGTTGTCTTGTCACTGGAACAGTGTGTATCATTTTTTGTTGTCTTGTCACTGGAACAGTGTGTATCATTTTTTGTTGTCTTGTCACTGGAACAGTGTGTATCATTTTTTGTTGTCTTGTCACTGGAGCAGTGTTTATCATTTTTGTTGTCTTGTCACTGGAACAGTGTGTATCATTTTTGTTGTCTTGTCACTGGAACAGTGTGTATCATTTTTTGTTGTCTTGTCACTGGAACAGTGTGTATCATTTTTGTTGTCTTGTCACTGGAACAGTGTGTATCATTTTTGTTGTCTTGTCACTGGAACAGTGTGTATCATTTTTTGTTGTCTTGTCACTGGAACAGTGTGTATCATTTTTTGTTGTCTTGTCACTGGAACAGTGTTCATCATTTTTTGTTGTCTTGTCACTGGAGCAGTGTGTATCATTTTTGTTGTCTTGTCACTGGAACAGTGTGTATCATTTTTGTTGTCTTGTCACTGGAGCAGTGTGTATCATTTTTGTTGTCTTGTCACTGGAGCAGTGTTTATCATTTTTGTTGTCTTGTCACTGGAACAGTGTGTATCATTTTTGTTGTCTTGTCACTGGAACAGTGTGTATCATTTTTTGTTGTCTTGTCACTGGAACAGTGTGTATCATTTTTTGTTGTCTTGTCACTGGAACAGTGTGTATCATTTTTTGTTGTCTTGTCACTGGAACAGTGTGTATCATTTTTTGTTGTCTTGTCACTGGAACAGTGTGTATCATTTTTTGTTGTCTTGTCACTGGAGCAGTGTTTTCATTTTTGTTGTCTTGTCACTGGAGCAGTGTGTATCATTTTTGTTGTCTTGTCACTGGAACAGTGTGTATCATTTTTGTTGTCTTGTCACTGGAACAGTGTGTATCATTTTTTGTTGTCTTGTCACTGGAACAGTGTGTATCATTTTTTGTTGTCTTGTCACTGGAACAGTGTGTATCATTTTTTGTTGTCTTGTCACTGGAACAGTGTGTATCATTTTTTGTTGTCTTGTCACTGTGTGTATCATTTTTTGTTGTCTTGTCACTGGAGCAGTGTTTATCATTTTTGTTGTCTTGTCACTGGAACAGTGTGTATCATTTTTGTTGTCTTGTCACTGGAACAGTGTGTATCATTTTTTGTTGTCTTGTCACTGGAACAGTGTGTATCATTTTTTGTTGTCTTGTCACTGGAACAGTGTGTATCATTTTTTGTTGTCTTGTCACTGGAACAGTGTGTATCATTTTTTGTTGTCTTGTCACTGGAACAGTGTGTATCATTTTTTGTTGTCTTGTCACTGGAGCAGTGTTTATCATTTTTGTTGTCTTGTCACTGGAACAGTGTGTATCATTTTTGTTGTCTTGTCACTGGAACAGTGTGTATCATTTTTTGTTGTCTTGTCACTGGAACAGTGTGTATCATTTTTTGTTGTTTTGCCACTGGAAAAGTGTGTAACAATTTTAGTTGTCGTGTCACTATGACCGTGTGTAAGTTTTTAACTCACCAGCTGGCTCGAATGTACACATTTGGAAAAAAACTTGGTTAACTGTCGGTCATTTAAGCTTGTAAAATCACGAAAGCCCGACTGTAATAATATCTTTATTCGACAGTTTCCAATAGTATTTTTACCTACTTTTATCAATATAAAAAACTCGAAAATGTAGTGCATTGAAATTTTATACGTGGTAAACAATAAAAAGACTGGTCATCTTATTAAATATCTCACTTCCTTTCCACTGCATATGGCAAGGCTATTGTGACAGGTTTGTGTAATGCTGGTTATGTCATCACCAGTGCATATTAATATATACAGTGTAGCAATTGTCAGTAAAATTTCAAACCAACAAAAATAGCATGTCGAACATTCTTTGATGCTGACGCTCTTTGTCATTGTAATTTTCCACTGCCAGAGAATGACTTCTCTGAGCAGTCCGAAGGGTTATATTCTAACTTGTGACTTTGTCACGGTCGCCGTGAAAATAAAATACAAAGTCAGAACCATTCTTCCAGATACCCAGAACGTTTTCGATTTGGTTTGGAAACGAAAGAAAGTAAAAAATTATTCATCGTTAAATTATGTACACTGACATAATTTTCTTATTTTCATCAGTATATTCCGCGTAAATATGACACCACACATTCATATGGACGAAGTGACCTAATTACTGCTTTTGGTTCCATTTCTGAAATCTGTCGGCACTGGAACAACATTTGCATCATTATGAAATCAACAAGTGGAAGTAACTCTTCAATCATGTAATGTTGATTATTCCAGAGACATATATAACACGTGTTATATACGTCTCTGATTATTCCTAACAAGTTTGGTAGGCGAACAGAGAGATCTCCAACAAATGAAATTTTACGTTGGACGGACGATCAGACACCGACAGTGAAATTACGTTCATATCTTCTTTTTATACAGGCATACTTGGTTCCTACCTTGAATGTAGGTCATGCCATTAATTTGGCCTAAGGGGGAGTTTATAGCACCCCATCAAGATACCTGTTGTCTAAATATCAGCAAACAAGTTAACAACTAGATGACACACAATACCGAGAATATGTGCCAAGTGGGCTATAACCAAATAGGGGATATACCCTGGTACACACATTACTAAATCCCTTCTTCTTCTATAGAAATGACAGAATTTTATTCAACTTTGGTTAGAAATATCATTTAGTGAAGGAAAAATCAATTTGGTATAAATTGAGCGTCTAAAACCCCTGGGATCTGAGGGATGGGGCCTAATGGGTTAAAATCCTTCTACTTCTGGAGAAATGAGTTTGTCTGTTTTAATGTTAAAATCATTGCTATGGAAAGGGGAAATAATTACGCGAAAATAATGGCGAGAGCGAGTATATATAGCAAACTCTTTGAAATGCTTCTTCTGTTGGAAGATAGGATTATATCCAAATTCAATTATAAGCATTCTTTTGGAAGGTGACACGAATTCACCATTCTTGGGAGTTTTTGGTTCCCTGAGGAACGAGGGGTGGGTTCTAAAAGGTTATGTATGGCAAATACGGGACCTCATACAAGTGAGATATATCAAGCAATTTTCAAAATCTTTCTTCAGTTGTTGCATTGACAGGATTTTGACCCAGTTTGGTTAGAAGCATCTTCAGGGAAGGTGAAACAAACTTTGTATAAAGGGGAGATATTTTGGCCCCCAAGGCCTTAGCCCAATAAAGATTATGTCAAAAATTTATTATATCCTTCTGCTTTTAAGCCAGGAATTTTTCCCTACATCAGAAACATCCATTGAAAAGTGCACTAATATAGCATAGTGTCAGGGGCCTGACAGGCAGGTTCCCATGGGAGGTACATAGCAAATTCTTAATAAGAAATATTTCTTCATAAATGATAGGATTTTAAACAAAACTATGTTAACAGCATCCTTTCGTAAATGTACCCAATTTATTTCTTATGAAAGGTGGCTTTAACCTCCATGAAGTAGAGGGGTGGGTCCCCAATATGGGAATCTACAGGGAAATTAGAGAGGAATAGCTTTCATTTATCCAAATTCTTCTATTGAGATGACAGAATTTCATCTAAATTTAGTGTGAAGCATTCTCGGGTGTCAGTCACTCCTTACTTTTGTATTAACAGTTGATCTGACACTCAAGAAGCACAGGAGTAGGGCAAATAGGGGAAATCTTGAAATAGCTTTAAAGTCCTTCTTTTTTAGTTTTTTAAAATTTTAAACTAAATTTGGTCAATCATCCTTCGAGAAGAAGTGTCCTTTAGGAAAAGGGAACAAGTTTTGCATAAATGATGTGTCTTGGTCCACAAGGGCCCGAGGGACTGGGCCCAAAAGGGTAAATTATAATGATTTCTTCAAAATCCTTCTGTGAAAATGACATAAGTTTGTACAATTTTGGTTTGAAAATCCTTAGGTGAGGTGACTTGGGGCAGAGAAGAGATGCCTAATACAGAAAATAGATATAAATCTTTAGAATCCTTTACCTTTAGTGTTGATCAAAAATTTCAACCAAACAAAACCAGGTGACCCTATGGACCTCTTATTTGAATCTAATATTAGATTTATTAACATTTAAGAGCATTAAAAGAAGTCTGTGTAGCAATGAAATGATGAGCAGATATATGTCTTTGCTGACAAATTTTTTGTAAGACTTAAGATACATTGATCAAACTGATGAAAAGTTTCCATTCTTCAAACAGTGACACAAACACAATTTTTCTTACAATAATGTTTAATCATTGAGAATCTAAAAATGTACACATATCTCAAATAGCACTGGAAATGTTTCTTCCAATATTACTTTTTCAGTTCAACAAGCATACAACACACTCGAAATTAGTCTATAGTTGCTGGTGTTACAACGCCTGGCTAATTATGTTGGTGTACTTCCCCAGTGTGGATGACATTGCCATGTCAACAGATTTGTCAGCAAAATCTACCCTCATACCTCCTATCAATGATGGATCAACCTGGTGAAATAGAAAAAAAAGTAAAAAATAAATACAGTGATACATTATTTGAAAAGTGCAAATTTTTACTGTCGGGTAAATAAAACAAAATATTTCTGAACATTACCAGATTTCTTCAGTCTTATAAACAACGTGCACATTTACTTCATTGTGATGAATGCCAAATTTGATAGTTCCCTTTCTGTTTCTGACCAATTATATATTAACCATCTATTTTGAAATATCATGATGATTAACCATGTATTTTAAAGCAAGCCACAACTGTTTCCTGGGTATTTATTTTTGGTGCCATGAAGCAATACTTTGTTAAAAAACCATCACAGACTTTCATCAACAAAATGTGTTGTGTTTAAAAGTGTGGCATTAATTTTATCCATATTTCTTTTGTTGACAATCTTGACAAGTCATATTTTCAATTAATTGACCCTAATATCCAGAATTGAAGGTCAGCATTACCAAAATATGATTGTAATACACAACTTCTGCACTTAATAATATCAATAAAGTTTGAAGACATATTTATAAAAAATGCAAAACAATCTATCAGCTTAGACATAAAACACTCTAGTTGGCCACGATAGAAGCAAGCAGAGGATCTTACTATGAAAAGTTGGTGGGTGACACTATGCCCTTTCACCTTGTCCAAGAAAATATGTTTTCTAAATCTACTGTAGCCTACCTCACCTGCAGTCACAATACAACCTACAATTTCCATTCATTCAAATAACACTATATTGTCTGCTAAAGACCATAATAGTGGATATAAACCTGTTAAATAAATTAATGACACTATTACTGAATTGTAACACATGGATTGTAGAGTCATGTAAGTACTGCAAAGAAGCAGCTGACTCTACCACTGGACCTGGATTTACCATTAGGTAGTTGTATTTTAAACTTACTTTCATGGTTAGATCCAAAGTTTCACCCTTCTTAAGGAACCCATCCAGAATACTTGTAAGTTCCTTCTGAGTAGAAGCATCCAGAGTCTGTAAATACCATATTTTTTTTTTTAATTACAAAGCTTACCATAACAAGTTAGTACATTATCCATGCCTGTACCTGACCAAAAATTGATTCAATTGAAAATGTTAATCAATCTGTTTTAAGACTGAATTCTTTTATATCATGAAGACTATATAAAAGATATCATGAAGACTATATAAAAGATATCATGAAGACTATAAAAGAACAAAAATGAAAAATTATTATGCCATGAATAACATACTGCTATCATTAAGATTTCCAAGATATGACAAAAAGACATCACTCAATTTTGCAAAATGTACATCAATATCAATTGCCTAGGCTTGTATCAGAATATACTGATTTTAGAGCAACCAATAACTGGAGATTAAACAAAACTATTTTACTGCATTTTACCTGGCAAAGCACAAAATTCAAAAGGACCCTACCTTTTCAAAGATATATGATACAAAACTGGGTCCACATTTAATCTTAAAAGCCATCAACCTATGTATACGATACAAAACCCTGATGCAATATGTTATGACAGACAGGTAGTCCAACTTGCAATATCTCAATATAAATATATTCTGATGATAAACATGTTTTTAAAGAGAACGTATTACAAACCTTTGCTACTGTTACTGTACAAGAAACTATTCCTCGCTCAGCGGCCATGATGGTGTTGAAGGAGCCTGAGACAGCTCCTAGTTTGTTAAGACGGCCATTTTCTGCCATTGTTTCTGATAACCAAGAATTAGAGACAGACTTAATTTAAGCTCCATAAAAACAAAAAATTACACGTCACAGGGTTTCGCTACTTTAGAAATTAAGTTAAGACTATTACACAGTAAAATGGACAAATTACTACACATGGTTTTAGTTTTGAGGTAAACAATGATTTAGAGATGATTTTCATGTCATCTTAACTTCTTCAAACCAATTTGAATTTGCAACAAATACATTTCAGGAGTATGGAGCCAATAAGTTTATATTAGTGATAATGATTAACTATCGGAATATTTCCATAGTCCAAACACAGAGAGAACAAGCTGACAATATAGCTTTTAGAAATGGCAACTTTTCTGCTAAATAACACTATAATGGCATTAAGTATGTACATACCAAATAGATTTTTTGTCATTTCAGAGAATTTTCCCCTCTCCGACACAACTTGAAGAAGAGCTGAAAAGCAAAAATATGGATGCTGAAATACTTTACAAAAAATATATCTACATGTATATATATTTATAAAAACTACAATCTTATATCTCAGATAAAAAAAAAAGATGTTTTATTGATGAAATATCTTGTTCCTATAGTCATAAACTTTTATCACATTTGTCTTTATGAAATTCTACAAAGAGGAAATTTTAAAGCTTTCCCAATTTTAACAAAATTAGTTTTCTCCAAAATTTTATACTATGTATAATAGACCTTTGATCAGTTCAAAAGAGGTGGTTAGTTCCGACACATGTTTTTTTCAGCAAAAACAATCATTTTCTGTTTTCTGTCTAGTGATAGTTTGAATTTGTTCTATTCTTGTTTTAATTACAATGTGAATTATTCAAACACATTGTGAGATTGTACAGTGCATATGCCTAACTAATGATTTATCACTCCTTGTGGTCGCTCTTTACATTGAAGGTAAACACTGCAGGTAGTGGGTTGTGAATGGTCATCATAAGCAACTGATACTATACACATGTCACTTAACTAGCATTTAGTTAATAATAATAATTGTAAGACTCAAAGATACTGCATGCTTCATAAACATAAATGGGACAATTTTAATAAACATGAATTTGGAGCCATAAGTCTCAATCCACACTCAACATCTTCATGTCATTGTTAATTTCTGCCAATACACAAGTAGACATCCTTTTTGGGGTTTACATAGTTTCTTCCTCAACATTTCAGACATGATGAAGAGCAAAATGAAACCTGTTATTTCTTGACAGTCTATTATTTAGAAAAAAAAACTATAGAAATACTTTCAATTTTCGTGAAATGGGCCATCATCTTTTACTGATCAGTAATTCCTTGCCTTGCTAAAACGTTTTTGAGCAATTCATCATCATTTTTAGGAAAGTCCATTCTGATAGTATGAACTCTAATTTATTTTCGCGGGCATATTTTCATATGACATATTTTCTGGGTTAAAAACTGCACCAGTATATAAGCCGCAGGGCCAGTTTTAGTAATTTTTTCGATTTGGTACACATATAAACCACACCGAATTATCAGTCTCACCCTTTCTTATGATATGGTGACCACTATTGTCTATCAAGAATGTCAGCATAACATTTAATGAATTTTGATTTTGCACAAATACTACTTTGTATTATGGATGTATATTTTTAAATTATGTTGACTATTTAAAATACATAAAATATTGAACTTGTTTGAGGCCTTCAGTGATTGCCAACGCAAAGGTAGGGCCTAACGTTATGTACAGTATTACAAACTCTCCACCAGTGTCTGTCCTAGTTAAACAGTTTAGCAATGAAATATGCTTATATATGCACACATATTGTGCTACCCAAAAGTTTTAGTAATACTACACACAGGTATATATATGATATTTTTTGTTGCCCTTGTCTGGGCCCTAAACCTATCAAAACAACAAACTGATACAAAAGTTACCTTTCTTGTCCTGTACTTTCTGAGTCGGATCATAGAGAAAGTCTTTAAGTTTGATGTCTGCAGACAATGTCTTCTACAAATTTGAACAATATGGTTATTTTTTGTGAAATAAGTATTTAAAGACCTACTGACTAAAATTAAACATGTTTTCTGTAAAACAACTATGACATTAGATTTTAAAAAATCAATATTGAATGATTTAAATGTCTTCAAATTAATCTCAATTATCAAATTCCTAAACCATTTTATAATTGATGTTGTAATGAACAGTTATGATTTGTTTTTCATAAAACATCCCTGCCTAAAAATTTTGAGTTTTTGAAGCACATTTGCAACTCTTGAAACCAATAGTGTTGGTGTTTTATCTAGAACATGTTATCTGAAGTATAGATTAATTACACTTTAAACAACTATGTTTACCGTAAGAGAAGTGAGGTCCTTTTCTACTGCGGCAAGTGCTTTCTTTTTGGAAGCTGCAGAGTAAAGTGCTGAAGCATATCTTCCCTCAATACCATATACCTGGACTGGAGGCTATACACAACAAAGTCAAGTTTATTAAGTTATAGGTTTAAATTTACGTATATTATACAGCAAAATTACAATGTTATTATATATACCATAATTGCTGACCACAACTCGCACTCATAGATCTGAACCTCAAATATCTTTTTACCTCAATTCTCAGCAAAATGTAAGCATGTATCATCCTTTTCTTCTGTGGTACATTAAAATGTCAATTACTTAAGACTGCTACAAGTCACCAAATAAATATCTGGAAATATGTTCAGAAATTTTACCTATCATAATAACCTTTAATTCCAGAAGTTATGTACAATTGTCAATCAAAGCACAGTGGTAACTTATTTTCAAAAAGTATACAGTATGATCATATATTTCCTATAATTCATCAATTAGTCACACAGACCAAGGAATATATTAAAAAAGAGCTTTTCTGGTTCTAAAAACTGGAATATTTGATAATTTGTAGGTCAACCAACTTTTCTATTTAACAACATTACATATAGAACATGAAACCCAAACAAGGAGAGAGATTAAAGTTAACACACAAATTATAAAGATTATGGCATTATTCATGGTAAATGATGTTTAATTGATTTATACTGTTTAACAAAAGAGGCTGTTATTATTTTAATGTTAAGACTACAGTATGGGCTAGGAATCGAACACATGACCTCCGACTTACATTCAACTCATAGAGCAAAGAATATCTCTTTATTGGTGCTAGTACATATTTTACCATGGGCATTCAAATTTTGTATGAATTACAACTAGAATTTAATGATTATAAACATTTGTCATTACCACTTCTTTAAAGAAAATGCTATGATAGACTAATATTACTTGTGTAATACCAGTATGTACTTACCTTTATCAGCTGACTTCTCATAACTGATGAGCTAAAATGTCTCACCTGAAAATTCAAACAAAAAAAAGGAATAGTGGGTATTCATAATTAACTCAATAAATTAGCTCCAAAGAATTTCAATAGTTTTACCTACATGCCTGATATCCATATAGTACATCTTCTAGCAAGATTTCCCTCAAAGGCTATATTTTACATACCATCCCAAAAGACAACAATTTTAGAAAGTCTTTTGGATGTCAGAGAATTTTGACATGGAGCTTTTTTATCAAAGCATGTGAGAAATAGCACTTAACTTTTATTTTTCAAGAAATATTTATCATCACATCACCATAATTTATATGGAATGATGGTCGATTCCTTACCATCATTAACATCAGTGCTACTACTCTTCAAACTGGTCATTTGTCTGATGAAGGTGCTGTTATTAAAACATCACACTAAAATTTTCTACTGGTTGTATTATAAGAACTGAATTATGTTCCAGTGTATCCTCCTCATTCGTAAATATTGTATCTATTGTCTACACATTTTATCTTGACAATGATTTGGATGAAAAAATTAATCCAGTTTACTGCCCTTATGATGTATGTAGGTCTCCATACACCTGCAATCTTATCATTATAAGCTGTTAATTAAACGCCCAGACATATGCAAAAGGGTTGACTACTTGCTGTTCAGTTTATTTAAATCAAACTTTATTTATAGTTAACACACAATTCAGATCAAACTAAATACTGTCATGTTTTTTTTCCTCCAAAGTTCTAACCACCATCCCCTCCAATCATGCTCCACCTCACATGCCTAATCTCTCAATCCCCAATCTTCCTTACACTAATTATATAGTCTAATATAAAAAAAAAACATTCACCTGTTGGTGATACAAACACATGTACTGGTTAAAGGGCAGATACTGGACCACCGACAAATCTAGGCGAGTTTGGCTATATAGTCAAATATGACTCTACATATAGTGAGCAAATGTAAACAACTGAGCCATACTTAGTCGCGATAAGGTGTGCTCATAAAACAAATTGAATACCATCATATTGGATATATGTATGTTACTAAACTGCGAGTGTACATGGATATTGAAAATGTGTAACTATGAAGTTCCAACAAATCTCCTGAAATTGAACAAATATGACAAATACATTCATTTCAATTAATTACATAATTAGCCATTAATTTTTCGATCTGCAGAAAAGAAATTATTGAAAATGTGTAACTATGAAGTTCCAACAAATCCCCTGAAATTGAACAAATATGACAAACACTTTCATTTCAATGAATTACAAAATCAGCCATTCATTTTTCGGTCTGCAGAAAAGAAATGTGACAGGACTTCGCCTGTATGTTAACCTTTACCCTATAAACGTATAGTCATATTTGACTTAAAAGCCAAATCTGCCTATATCGCCAGATTTGCCGGTGGTCCATTACCTGCAGGGATTACGATTTCTATTCAATCATTGTTTTTAACCTCTACCATATTGCAAACCTCAGTTGTTGGAGTGACATTTTTTCACTTTAGAATCCATGCAATTTTTCGTGTTTTCAATTTCGTTGCTAGACTTTCAATAGTTTAATATATTATATTGACTGTACTGTCTGTACATGTACATTGTATGTAACCATTAGCCAAGTACAAGGTCAAACTTTTGGGAACATATTCCCGAACCAGTTTGAGTGTATAAGATTCCAAACATAGCAATGTTAAAAAACAATGAGATAAGTTTGATGTTGTATGATATTTGTGAGCAATAAAACATAGTAGTCAGCGGAAAAACTCCAAACTCTTACCCCTTGTCCAAATCTTAGCGAAGCCATGTTGATAGAGGCCGGTGGACTGGGTCGCATAAACGTTTGAAATGAAGATGTTATATTGAATACTAAAACTAAGCGTCTAGATGATGTGGGAAGGACATCAAAGCATGGATAGGACTTGAAACTGCTGAAGAATATTAGATAAGAGAGATGCCGCGATACGAATTGGCCCTTATTTTGAAGAATCTGCCGAAGGTATTAATATCAATAAGCATGAAAATAGACATACTTTTGCGCTTTGAATTGATATGACTCCACGGAATAGGCTGTGTACCTATTGCTAAAAATCCGCTTTCGACCTCTCTTTTTGAGATACACTAACATTGTGTTTTGAATGTTTTAATTCAAAGATACAAGAGTTTGTTTTGTGTCATTTGCTGAAACTTAAAAACAATATTAGCCTGTCCTATGCCTGTCCATGATTACCTTCTCAGTCCCTCAAAACCTAATGAAAAGATCGTAATGCCATTAAATCTACATTAGTTTATACTTAAACACAGGTGAAATCCATTGCAATTGTACTTATTATATATCCCAAATGGTAAATATAAGTAATTTAGCACGCATATCAGATGTAGAACAAGGGGCAAATCATTCAAACTGCCATCCAAAGTATGAAATAATGTGTTAAATAGAATGAGTTCATTGTTTCACAATGAATAACCGTATATATATTCTTCTTCAGTTAGTAAACTTTGGTATTTTTCATTCTTGCATCAAATTTTTCACCCCACTAGATGGAGTATAATTGTTATTCAACAAGAAACAAAGAATTTGCTCTTATCCACTATCATTAAATGATGGATTGACTCAGATTTACAGCCCACCATTATTAAATCGTGGGCTCTTCAACTTGTCCCACAGTCATGGTCAGGTTGTTTATCATCCATCCACCCATTCGTCCACCATAAACAGTAATATAATGGAAGTTCTAATAATACAACCACTTCAACACTTGGGCATAATGTGCAATACAAGAAGTTATGGCCGCTCTCACCCTCTTTTAGAACTGCCAGTCTGCTGCAGCATATCCAAATGGTTTCATTTACCAGCCACCAGAAAATGTTATTTTCCTACCTATCAGCAATTTTAGAATTTTCACAGTCAATGGTATGAGTGACCAAAAAGTCTAGTATCTTGATGTTTGGCTGATAGGTTTCTAGGATAAAACCAAACAAAGTTTCTGAAAAGAAATTACTGTAACAGATTTTCATGTAAAAACCTACAAACAACTTATCAATAGCAAAGTTTGTGAAAAGAAATTACCTTGACCAATATTCAAGGTTGCAAGGGTCAGAGTCAAAGACCTAGAGTTAAGATATTTGACTGGTAGCTGTAGGTTCCTGCTGTGAAGGCCAACACTGTTTGGGGAAAAAGTTACCTTGAACCATGTTAAAGGTTGCAGAGGTCAAATTTGTTAAAGCCTGCAAACAATTTATTCTCATTAACAATAATGTATTTGTAAAAAGCATTGAATACCATTGTAGTGATGCAGTCTCTATTAAAACTTCAAATGTTTTCTCTGTTAATTCCCTTTTCAATGTTTTCTCTATAAATTCTCGCTTGATTTTCAAATGTTTTTCACTGTTAATTTCTTTTCCAATGTCTTTTCTGTTTATTTTCTAAAGGTTTTCTCAATTACCTAGGCAATTCCTTTTTCGAGCTTTCCACGATATGAATCCTATAAAGATTTTCTCTATTAATTCTTTTTTTCATGGGTTTCAGTACTAGTTCTTTAAAAGTTTTCTTTATGAATTTTAAGGTTTTCTTGATTGATTTCTGAGGTTTTCTGTATTAAAGCAGGGTTTTCCATAATTTTGTTAGTAGTAGACTGTGTGATAAGAGTAGGAGGCTGGCCTGCTGTATACGTGTAGTCGTGTACGGAACATTATTACGGAACTGGATTGGTGTAGACGGCCAATTGATCAAAGTAGCCGGTCAAATTGGCCGGCGTCCGGCTTTTATGGAAAACCCAGTTAAAATACTAAAGGTTTCCTCAGTTGCATGTAATTCCCTTTTCATGGTTCTCTTTATTAATTCTTTTACAAGTTTTTTCATTGAATTTGTTCCTGAGTTTTTTTCTGTCAATTCTTTTAAAAAAAGCTGTTTCGCTATTAACTCTAATAGCTAAATACAGAACCAATGAAAAATAACAACCTTTACAGTGCCATATATATCTTAATAATGTCATAGTTTTCACTCTTATCTTCTTTTACAGGAAGGCCTTGCTAATGCTTTGAAGAGAAGTTGTCAAGTTGTATGGGAACAAGAAGGTGTCGTCAGAAAGATAGAAAACTTGGGAACTAAATCATTGCCCTATAAAATGAAGGCACATGGTTCAGGAAACACCACTGGGAGGTAAGTACAGAAAGCATACAGCCAGGTTTATAAAATATACTTATGTTTGAAATATTTCAATGTTTCCTATTAATTATTGAATTTGTTTTTGTAAAATTGAATATTAGTGACTTAAGTTTTAAACAAAGAAAATTCAGATACTATTCTTGCTAAACTTCCTGACTTTCTTCAAAAGAAAAACACATTGTGTTTTTTGTATTGGTAATTCTGAAAAAGAAACTCTGGGTGGAACATGGTGAAAATCATTTCATTTAAAATCAATTGCAAGGGTAGCCTACACATACACATGAGTTTATGACATCCTGAAAACTATGTGAAGCCAAAATAAAAAGTAATTGTCTTAACATACAACAGATTTTTATTTTTTGTTTTTTGTAGAAATAGACTTTCTTGAAATGACCTCAAGGTCTTTGATTATAACAACTTGTATGCATACTTTAAAAAATCCATCAGATCCTGACTTTTTGTTGATCATTATGAAGATTACAAAATTTTGTGTTTTGGTTTTCGTTGATAAGAAATCAGAATGAGACTTTCATCCTTTAGTTTTTCTGTAACTTTCATTTCTTTGATGTTGGAACTATATTGTAACTTACGATAGTATCATGGATGATTACAGGGATATTCTGTATATATTATAAGGATTAACATATCTTACGATACAAATTCTATGCCTCAGTTCACCACATAAACAAACTTATGATATTCAATTGTAGAAATTTTTTATAGAATTTTGCTTGATCAATTGACAAAACAATGGCTCAGCTATGATTGAGCCACAACAGGTGTACTTTTTATTAGCCAAACAGTGTGACATACTTTTATATATTTTAAAATTGACAAGAAATAAGCAAAACAAAGCAATGAAATTCCAATCCCAGCAGAAATTATATTTACCCAGTACTTGGCAATGGTAGACTGAAGTGATAAGAAAGAGTTCAAACAAAGTACAAAACTGCCAGAAAGCTAATTTGTGCTGAATATCCCTTTAAGACGTAATCTGGAATCTTGTATTGACACTTTTAAAGTCATTGTCAGTCTGTTTTTAGCCCACCATCATCAGAGGGTGGACTAATCAAATCGTCCTACATCTTCGTCACTTCTTACAGAACAAATTTCATTTTTCTAGTTGAAAATTGTGTTGTTTTGCCCTTACAGCTATTTTGTGATGAACTTTGATGCTAGTACAGATGGCAAGGAAGAAATACAAAAGAAATTACATCGGGATGCAGAAATAATTCGTCCAACCATTTTCAATGTAACAGAAGATGAAGAGCGCCCATGCATTAGAGGATTAGAATGTCAGTTTGATGAAGATATCTCACTAGTTGGTGAACGTTTATCATGGCGGACTAAAGCTCTTAAGAAAGCAAATTTGTATAAGGATTTAAAAAGGAAGCAAAAGAACTGAAGAACTTTACCATGAGACATTTCGTCAATAGATATGTGTGGTTTTAAAAGGAATGACAGTTGTGAGCGTATTTTTATTTCCGAATCTATCTGGCGTATATTCTGAAAATGAAGGATCGTTCAATCTTCACTAATGTATTATCTTGCCAGGATTCAATCTGAAATATTACTTCATTATCATGAGTTACTTGTACATAAGTTTTATTCAGATATCTTGAAAAGAAATATGATTTTGTTTGACAGAGGATCCTTCTTTTTTAAAAAAGGCTCCATTTCCAATGAAAATGCAGTCAATAAGCCATTTCATCTCATTGCTTGAATATACAATTCTGAAGTCAGTTATTCTCTCTCTAGAAATGTATTTTCTGTCATGCTATGAAGTTTAGTAAAGAGGTTATGGAGACTGATACTTTGGTTTTAACAGTATTTTTTCTGTCATTAATTATAATCATCCATGTTTCTAAATATTCTCAGGTCTCAAGTTTTTTATCATGACTTGTTGACTGTCTGTTATTCAAGTCAGGAAAATACAGTTTACTGATCTGGCCCTAACACCAAATATAAGATATTTATCTAGTGTAGGGTCAGAATGCACGCCAATGTGAAATAAGATTTTTTTGCACATGTCCAACCACACAATCCCTGTACAATCTGGCTGTAAAATTGTCTTGTGTTGGAGCTTGAGGAAAGTAAGGTTAATACATTACTTACCTTATTGACCAGCATGGATGCAGAGTTCCAGTGCACACCTCACAAAACGTTGATGTATGTCTTGGTCAGAGAGTTTGTCATCAAGAGTATCATTGGGTAGAACAATATGCACCAAAGTCATATTACTGATTTAATTCATCACAAACAATACAAATATGGAAATGCCAAGTCATAATATCAAGACATAAAAAAATGATATGAAGTGCCTATTTGCTTTATCATACCAAGTTTTAGCTTTCCTGGCCGGAAGGCATACTGCGGCTGTCCGGCTGTCCACCGGTTTTTTTCTACAAAACACTACTAGTCATTAAAGACAATGGATTTTGATAAGTTTTCTCAGAAGCATCTTTGTGGGGAAGGGAATCAGTTTTGTATAAATGTTGGTTTCAGACTGCACGGGCCTAAGGTGTAGGGGCCAAAAGGGGAAATTTTCTTTTAAAGTTAAGTTAAAGTAAAGTTAAGTTTTAAAGTTCTTTTAAATCTTACTCCTCCTGTATGCATGATTGGATTTTGCCCAAATTTTAGTCTTAAGCATTCTTGGTTGAAGGGGAATGAATTTTGTTTTAACAGTTGTTGTTGGCCTCCTGGAGCAGGAGGGGAGGAGCCCAATAGGGAAAAAGAGCAAATTCTTAAAATTCTTACTTCTCCTTTTAAGAATAATTGGATTTTGACAAAATATGTTTGGATGCATTCTTGGGTGAAGGGGAATCAATTATCTGTAAAAAATGGGTCTCAGAACCCTTGGGTGGGAGGTGAAGGACCCAATAGGGCAAATAGATGAAATATTTGAAATCCCACTCCTCCTGCAGGAATGATTGGATTTTGCCCAAATTTGATCTGAAGCATTCTTGGTTGAAGGGGATTCAATTTTGTATAAATGTTCATTCTTGGCCCACTGTGTTGGGAGGGTAGAGGCCAGAAAAAACAAATAGAGCTTAGTCTAAAATCCTTCTCCTCCTGTACAAATGGTTGAATTTTCCCAAATTTGGTTTGAAGCATTCTTGGGTGGAGGGGATTAAAATTTGTATAAACAATGGGTCTTGGCACCCAGGAGCAGGGCCAAAGAGGGGAAAAAAGCAAAAATCCACCTAAATTTTGGACTGATCAGAAAAATAAAATGGCCAACATCTGGCCATCTTTGATTTTGATTTTGAAAGTTTGTTATCGCTATTTCTTGAGAAGTTCTGGATAGATTTCTCTCAAGGACATTGTGAACAATACTTCATCAATATCCTTTTGTATTTTGTAACTTCATTATGTGTATTTATTAGTAGTATGATTTCATGCATGATGTCAAAATTACATCTAATTTGAAATCATATCTGACAAAGGGAAGAGTGAACCATAATACATAATTTCTGAAAAAATATCAAAATAATTATATTAGTAAATACTCATATTTTGAATTAGCAAAATATGAATATGAGTTATATCCAAAGCCATCATTTATGCCCAAAAGCTTTAGACAGGTTATGTGTTTACATGGCAGAAATACGTGTTGCCCTTTTTGTTGTCTTTTTATGGATCAGTCATCCATGTTAGAAATGGTATGTAAACCGTTTCTGTATCTTGATACTGAATCAGTATCCGGATACAAATTAGAGAACACTCTCTGCATGTATCACACATACACTAATAAACAAGAGCACTTCAATACACTTCTGGACTTAATCTTTCATCATTCTTCCATCACCCTCAACACAGTGGCCATCTTGGATTTTGATTTTGAAAGTTTGTTATCACTGCTTCCTGAGAAATAGATATTTGTTAAATTTCATGTATTGGTTCCTCTTTGTCCCTAGTTGTACCTGTTGGAGTTTAGGACTTACCGACAGGCAGCCATCTTGAACTTCACCTAGTAAAGATTTTTATCCCTATTACTTAAGTAGTACAAAATGGATCTCTCTCATATTTTATATGTATGTTCCTTTTGGTCTCGTCTTATGCCCGTTTGATTTTGGGACTGACCAGAAAAAACAAAATGGCTTTAAGGAAACCATCTCTGATTTAGCAGGTAAAGATTTTCATTGCTATTTCTGCAGACAAATGTTCAAATTTCTTATCATTGACAGCAAAACCAGAGAAGAGAAAAGAAGGAAAAGGATCCTGCTTTCAAAGAGCAAATAAAGATCAAACAATGGTGGGCACCAAGATCCCTCTGGGATTTCTTGGATATTTAGAATTCCTTTTCCTAAAGTTTTAATGAAGCAATTTTAGCTAAGCAAAGCCAAGTGGGACAATACAGGCCCTAAAAGCCTCTTGTTTATTAGTTTAAAACTGAATAAAGGGATATCTGGACAAGATTAGAATACTGAAAAGAACAAAAGGCAAAAATCCTTGAGGAAGGTTATCTTGACAAAATTAAAATAATGAAAAAACAGAGGGAAAGATTGCAGTACAAATTTTAAATGTTGAAAAATGCTGAATCAAGCTGCTGTTTAGGAAAACACATTTCAAGTCAATAGATATAAAGACTACAAAGTTTTGAAGAAATCTGTTGAAAATTGAGGGAGATGACCTCTGGGCAAGATTCATATATGAAAACAACAAAGCACTGTAACTTTAAATACATTTGAATCATTAAAGAAAACACACAACTTCATGTTATGGTTATTAAGCCTACCAAGTTTGAAAAAAGATAGTTTACAACTGTGAAAGGAGATCTCCAGACAAATGAATATTTATAACAGACAGACAATGCTGTGCCATTATAAAAAAATGGATTACTGCAACCAGTACTGACAATGCTGAAGTCCAGCCTTTCCTAGTTTTCCATAATTGGTTAGTTGTATCTTTCATACATGATGAACACCATGTTTTGAAAACACACATCAGAGTAGGCTTGTATTTTGTACACATAAATGGGTTCATCATAGCTTCTTATTGACTTTGGTTCTAACATTCAGAAAGATTGAGTTTTCAAGAGCAGATAGCATTGAATAGTTCACACATGCTTCTGGTAATACAGACAGATCATGAGAGGGAGTTTTGACTTTATCTGATACATGTATTTAACATCAAGGTTAAGTACCAAAATATAGGTCTCTAAAGTTTGTATCGGATTCCATTTCCTATATAATAAATGGATTCGCAAGAACAAAATAGCAAATTAATGTATATATGGCATCAATTGTTTTTTTATAGTCCTCATTGATAACAAATCTCCCTGGAAAGACTGCCCCATTAAGTTGATTTAAGTCCTGTGAGTGGACTTTAAGGGAGGGACTACTGTACATCATGAAGAATTTCCACGTTAGGTATGGAATACGGAATATTGTCTTAATATCCTACCTCCACATCTGAAGTACCGTGGAGGTTTCTTAGGCATATTGTCTCGCAGTGTCATATAGGAGCTAGTTCATTTGGCTCATATGAATATACACCATGTTGAATCTGCCATATAGGATAAGCAGATGTACAAATGTACTTTATACTAAAACAGTATATAAAATGATGATGATCAAATTCTCCATGAAAGTTTAAAATCAAACCAAAGATTCATGTAAGGAAAACACAATGTAACAAATTTTGTATGAAACAGCAATATATTTTATAGTTAACACCTTTTTTTTTTTACAAATAATACACAGATTTTCTATGTAGCGTCAAGTGTGTAATCTGGTAAATCCAGAATCATTCTTGTTTTCTATTGCACACTTATGACAAAATAAGTATATTACAAGTGATTATAGTTCTTTAAAACAACCTAAAACGAAACCATTTCTAACTAAATCCACAATACTTTCATGTTAATACTGATGTTTACTTACAGTAAACAAGGTGGCCAATTTAAAGTCAGGCATTGTATTATCATGATATATATTATATATTACATACATGTTCCCAACCGTATATTTTCCATAACATTTTTTGGAAATGGTTTAAACAGTTTAGCACTGTTTAAAGACAATCAAATTTGGCAGCATATGTCGCTCCAGTGTTCCCATCCTCTGCCTCCACCTGTAATTCCGTACCTCCCATTATCATGCGGACTTTGACCTCTCTGTGTGTTCCACCCGTAAGGTCAGGAATCCTTACCTTTATGGTCCCAAGGACTTGACATCCTAATTCTGTGGTGTAAGTTGGATCTTCGGAGGGTGATGTTACAACTTCGATGGACATGACCGTTTGGTTACGTGAAACTGGACAGAAACGTTGATAGGGCGTTGCCCGACCATTCTTCATGGTTGTGCCAATGGTTATAAACTTTGTGAAGATGTCTGAACAGTATTCTTCCCCATCGAGTATTCGTAGTTTATACCTTGGATGTTTATGGTGGTCAAATGTACAACAACTCCCTATGCCATATGTGTATGGCGAAATTCTCCACCCAATGATGTCTGGATCGTGACCAAAGATGACAGCTCCTTTGATCACAGCCGAGTTTGCCTCCGTCGGTGTGTGTATATGAATGTATGGAAATTGTTGTGCTATTTCCTTCTGCAGAAGCTTGTTTTCTGAAAAACCTCCTACCAAGTAAATATCTTTGGTAGACGACACACCTGGTTTATTTATCAGTTCCCTGATGTGTGTTACTATCTTTTGGACTGGTTGTTGAAAGAAGGTCTTCACAGTATGGTGTGGGACAATCATTTTGTCTCCCCGTATCCTGATAGACTGCGAACGTGCTTTGGATTCGTCTAGACATTCTCTCAAACAATATGGAATCCGGATATTTACAGACGACATTGTTGCGCTTGGATCGAAAGATCGTTTGAAAATTTCAAATTCCCTCTCTATCTCCAGAGTTTCGGTTTTTGACATTCTCCTGATTGCACCGACTCCAAAGACCTTCAAAAGAAATGTCTGGAATGCATCGTCTACTTTTGTCCCTCCCCACGGCCCTCCGGATGGTGAATGGATTTCCTTAAGCACACCAGAAAGATGAACCTTGTGCACAGTCACGTCTACAGTACCTCCTGGGAATATAAATAGACAATGTTCTTAATGCAAAACAAATATTACAAACGACTAACCCGATTGTCAGCCATATGACTGAACAGAATGAAAATATAGTATAAGATACAGAAGAACTCAATAATATCTGCATCATTCAGTTGATTTGTTGTTTTAGGGCTCTATCGTCAGTGATGATAAGTCCCCGAAGTTTTAAAATCTAAAAACCTATCTGGGGAAAAAAGAAATGACAAAAGAACGTACAAATCTTGACTGAATGATCTGCTACATAAATTTAATAAATCGTTAAATTTCATATTTCACACTAATCGAATGTTTTTTAAAAGGGCATCAAGTGTATACTTATATTCTAAACCTATGAAAATTCTTTGTTGAACCTCCTCTAGAAGTTTAATCCCTGACATAAGCCTTATAAAGCCTTTACAACTACACTTCCGAGGTACAAATGAAAGAGGAAATCTAAACAGGAAGCCAAAATGTTATCGGTGAAGAACAGCTAACCAAACAGATTTAAGCACTTCCACCAGTACATCACGTGCCCATGTTATAGACGAAACCAAAGTGCTATCGGCGAAGAAACTGCTTACCAAACAGATTTAAGCACTTCCACCAGTACATCACGTGCCCATGTTATAGACGAAACCAAAGTGCTATCGGTGAAGAACAGCTAACCAAACAGATTTAAGCACTTCCACCAGTACATCACGTGCCCATGTTATAGACGAAACCAAAGTGCTATCGGTGAAGAACAGCTAACCAAACAGATTTAAGCACTTCCACCAGTACATCACGTGCCCATGTTATAGACAAAACCAAAGTGCTATCGGTGAAGAACAGCTAACCAAACAGATTTAAGCACTTCCACCAGTACATCACGTGCCCATGTTATAGACGAAACCAAAGTGCTATCGGTGAAGAACAGCTAACCAAACAGATTTAAGCACTTCCACCAGTACATCACGTGCCCATGTTATAGACGAAACCAAAGTGCTATCGGTGAAGAACAGCTAACCAAACAGATTTAAGCACTTCCACCAGTACATCACGTGCCCATGTTATAGACGAAACCAAAGTGCTATCGGTGAAGAACAGCTAACCAAACAGATTTAAGCACTTCCACCAGTACATCACGTGCCCATGTTATAGACGAAACCAAAGTGCTATCGGCGAAGAAACTGCTTACCAAACAGATTTAAGCACTTCCACCAGTACATCACGTGCCCATGTTATAGACGAAACCAAAGTGCTATCGGCGAAGAAACTGCTTACCAAACAGATTTAAGCACTTCCACCAGTACATCACGTGCCCATGTTATAGACGAAACCAAAGTGCTATCGGTGAAGAACAGCTAACCAAACAGATTTAAGCACTTCCACCAGTACATCACGTGCCCATGTTATAGACGAAACCAAAGTGCTATCGGTGAAGAACAGCTAACCAAACAGATTTAAGCACTTCCACCAGTACGTCTCTGCCCATGTTATAGACGAAACCAAAGTGCTATCGGTGAAGAAACTGCTTACCAATGTATATATTAAAATGTATATATTACCTCCAGCATCGACAATCATGAAAGTATTGCCTTTGTCGAACTTTCCCAGCTGGTGAATGTTGGATTTACAATACAACGCAGCAGCTTCTGGTTCCAGCGCCAACGTGAGGCGAGCTTCAGTTATCTCAGCCTGAAGAAGCATTGAAAAGGGGTTATACTTTTAACGGGGAAGTGTGATATAGGTCATTCAACTTTTATTTCATAAGTATGCTGGAACAACATAGAGTAGTATTGTATAATATTCGGTTTGGTCTTAATGTTTGCATGGCGTAGCCTGTTGCTACATACAAAATGGTAAGATCAATATCTAGAGCAAAAGACTATTCATTCGGGTCATGCGCAGACATGCAGCTGTAGCTGACGCTCATCGTCGTCACATTCGATACTAAAACAAATAAGTTTGTTCAATTTAGTTGTTTTTTTTTCAGTGAATACCTCTTTGTTACTAATTTAAAGTGTCAAAACACTGATACTAAAGTAGAGAGGAGACACATTATTGTTATTAATTAAGTATATATTCAGGAAAACGACATGACCCCAAGACCACAGTTTTTTGTTTTTGTTTTTTGTTTTTTTGTTTTTTTGTTTTTGTTTTTAATTATTTTTGTTTATTTCTACCTGCATTGCTTGGAAATTACTGAGTGGTTCACAATAAAATTTAAGCATCACAACTTTCGTTTTTCGTTGCGTATACTTCAGATTGAAATTATGAAAATATTCTAGACAGTCATGTATCTGATAGTGATAGTGTACTTCAGATAGAAATTATGAAAATATTCCTGTCACGTATCTCATAGTTATAGTATAGTCTTGTAACAAAACAACAATACCAAACACATGTAGGGCTTTAATCATGTCCATTACCTCATCACCAGCTACAACTTACACTGAGAGCAGCCTTTCTCATGAACTGTTTTGCAGCTTCATTCCAGATAGCGGGCACTGTTAGGACCCAATGTATATCTTCTGTTAATACAGAGCTAAACCTTTCCTGCAACAGTTCATGGAAGTGGTCCCGAAGGTACTTGATCCCGGCTGAAAATACGTTCATTGCCAGCATATCTTTTCCAGATACATCTTTTATCATGGTCCTTTCATTCAGATTCTGAAAAGAAAATTGACATGATTTGCCTCGCTTCTGCAACATTTAAGGCCGAGGATTGAAACAAACTAACGGTTAAACTAACTTTTAACGTGCCTTCTGCTTGTGGATATTACAACTATTAAAGAAACAAACAAACAAACAAAAAATTAAATAAAAAACAAATCTGCTGTATTTGCAACATTTTGAATGTTTTTCTTCCGAGCTATCTTTTTGATAACTAATACGTTTTTGACAATACCGCGATTTGGTCTTTGCTTCCAAGCAGTCTTAGTAGGAAGTACAACGAGGTCGTCTCTCGGCCGACACGAGTTTACAAAGACGATGAAAATGTACATTTAGATAACGTTCTGATTTGAAAGGCCAACATCACAAGTATGACATGTATTTACATTATGAATACCATGGCAAGAAAGGATGTCAAAAATGTTTGTGAAATTAAATACTCACCTCGTTTTTGAAAAGGCTCATTTTGAATCTTTTGAAAAAGAAGCATTGTTTTTGCGCTTCATCCGAAAGCCTGGAGTAAGTGTTTTCAGCATTGTATCCGAAGGAATGAAACCGCTGCCTGGAGTCAAACAGTATACAAGTTGGTGCCTTAGTAGACTTTTCTAGTCCTTCTCCCGCCTGCCAAAGAGTGGTGTGCACTGCATTCTTGTTCAGTTTGTACTCATTGTAGAAGGAGAAGGCATAGCCGGAATATGTCGTCCCGAAGTCGATGGCCACCACCAATAATTTCTGTGTCGAGGCCATCTGAAATGATCTGAAGTACGACAACTACTCTTTAACATAATGTTTGAATTGCCTAATTAGCTGCATTGTTTTCCTTTAAATTCGTACGGGAATTATTTTTCTAGATAGGTACTAACAAATAAGATTTTTCCCGAGATGGAAAATGGCTTTGTTTAAAGTGCTCATACCAAGATTATGATTCAATAACAGTATTATATTTCCTTAAAATATATGAAAAATATACCTTAGATTTTAGCTGATCTCTTTATTGCATTTTCGGATGGGTACGTTATACATATAAGCCTTAGTGCAAGTTAAAAGTCGCTTCGAGCAATATTTACTGGGGTAACCAAGACAAGTTGAGTCATTTTTATTTATCTTTTAAGTTTCTAAAAAAAATGAACTTTTGAATAACATACTCAAATTAGTACACACTGTTCCTACATGTTTTGTTTTTTTTTATGAATGTGGTTCAATTCGTTAAACTATTAACTGCTGCCTTTCAGATATTGATTGGAAATGTTACCCTTAGGGACACGGTAGCAGTCTCAACATACACACCCTAGACGTGAGCAAGTTAGTAGATATCTGTAGCGTATAATTAGAATATAACATTTGTTCTATTAATGTATAATAGATTATGAGGTGAAACTAAATCTTTGCTGTTTGTCTGGGATATAATCTGTCGGGTTTATTCGATAGAAATTAGCTAGCAACAAATATTTATTGGTGTTTTTTGTTTATAAGACTGGACTGATTTATGTAATGACGACACTGTAGTGGTAATCGTTCTATGTCAATATGCCACACTGGCGGTGATCATGTTTTGTTAACACGACAATGTTCTGAGTAAACATGACAACGTATTGCTAATCGTTTTCTGTAAACACTCCTGTGAAATACTCGTGTTATGTATTTCCGGATAATAATCTGCAATGTACGTCACTAATATTATAATCGCCTGGCGTAGTGATACATCCTGTATGTTGTGTAATAAAAAGCAGTTCGTCAACATGGACACCACGTGTTTGGTTGTGTTATGTCTACCCCTGTGGTTTAGCACGCTGTCCCTACCTGTAGGAACATCTTATTAGCAGCAGACACAACAACTCGTACAATCATTAAATGTTTCAAAAAGGTTTAAAGATAAAATCTACTTACGAATGGACAACACTTCCTATAGCAGGTCAATTTTCAGAAATTTCTCAGATTCCCAGAATATATATCTATTTTCTGTTTCGGTTTCCCGTTTTTCTAAAATCAAGTATTAGGATACCCACACACATGAGGTTTGCGGTTTCTAAAAATAACACCAGTCATTGTGAATTTCAAAAGACAGAATTACACTACAAGTATCTAGACGTATATGTTTCTGGAGTCTAAATTGCTAATTAATTCTTTGTTAATACGACAATATTGTGGTAATCGTTCTATTTAAACACGACATTGTAGTGGTAATTTTCTCTGTCAACACAGCCATGTTCTAAGTCCACGCGACAATACTGTGATGAACATTCTCTGAAAGCAGACAACGTTACGGTAATCGCTCTCTTACCACAATAACGCAATTGTAATGTTCTACGTAAACACGACACAGCCGTGACAAACGTCCTACGTAAACACGACACAGCCGTGACATTATGTGACCAGCCGTATGTTATACGTAGACACAGCCGTGACATTATGTGACACAGCCGTATATATAGACATGACATTACGTACACGATGTTATATAGACATGACATTACGTGACCAATGTTACATAAACACGACACAGCCATCCTAAACGTAAACATGTAAACATGACACTGTAGTATGATCTATGTTATAGACATGACATTATAGTGGTAAACGTTATTGTAAATTCGACAATTGTAAAGAACATTTTATATACATAAAAATATACATGATCATAATATAGTGACTAATGTTATATAACACTACGGTGAAGATACGTACCCGCAAAACCATTAAATGTGACATTATGTGACCAGTATGTTATATAGACATGACATTATGTGACCAATATGTTATATACACATGACATTATGTGACCAGTATGTTATACAGACATGCCATTATGTGACCAATGTTATATACACATGACATTATGTGACCAGTATGTTATACAGACATGCCATTATGTGACCAATGTTATATACACATGACATTATGTGACCAGTATGTTATATAAAAGTGCCATGACATGACATTATGTGACCAGTTTGTTGTATAGACATGACATTATGTGACCAGTATGTTATATAAAAGTGCCATGACATGACATTATGTGACCAGTTTGTTGTATAGACATGACATTATGTGACCAGTATGTTATATACACGTGCTTGACACTATGAGACCAGTATGTTATAAAGGCGTAACATGACATGACATTATGTGACCACTACGGTGAAGATAAGCACTCGAAAAACCATAAAAGGTTTGAATATGAATAAAGATAAGCCCTACCTACGGATGGACAACTTTTTCAATAGCAGCTCAATTCCGGAAATTTTCTTAAATTACTAGAATGTATATCTGCTTTCTCTTCTAGTTCCTGTTTCTCCAAAATTATACTGTCGCTCAATCGTATTTTCACTTTCGATTTCTGTTATGAACCAGAAGAGGCCGAATGGTACTTAAATTAATGATCTTAACCAGAATCTAATAATGTAGTTTTTATCCAATAATATCATCCGGTATCCATTAAGTAACTTTTAATTTTTGATAACAATGACATGCGAAAGAGAGCAAATAAATTGTGACAATTCATATGATGTAACCAGTATGTTTAGAAGATACAAGGTGATTATTACAAATGTACAAAAGTGATTATATATAGCAGGTGAACATCGACAATGACAGTGCCAGTTAAGGCTAACTGACATCACGTGCGGCCCCCTTTCGTATATATACATGACATTATGTGCCCACTGTAGTATAACGACATGAAATTATGTGACTATTATGTTTTATAGACATTACATCATGTACCTAGTATGTTGTATACACTAGATATTATGTGACGTATATGTTATATAGACATGGAATTATGTGACCTGTATGTTATATAGACATGACATTATGTGACTAGTATGTTATATAGAGATGACATTACGTGACCACTATGTTATATACATATGACATTATGTGACCAGTTTGTTATATACACATGATATTATGTGACCAGTATGTTATATAGAGATGACATTACGTTTCCACTAAATTATATACATATGACAATATGTGACCAGTTTGTTATATACACATGATATTATGTGACCAATGTGTTATACAAATATAACTTAATGTGACCAATATCTTTTAGAGACATATTAAATGGACAGTATTTTGTAAATGCTATCACATTATGTGACCTGTATGTTATATAGACATGATATTATGTAACCAGTATGTTATATAGACATGACATGACATTATATTATGTGACAAATATGTTATATATGAAGTGACATGACATGAGATTATGTGACCAGTTTGTTATACAGACATGACATTATGTAACCAGTATGTTATACAGACATGGCATTATGTGACCTGTATTTTATATAGACATGACATTACGTGACCACTATGTTATATAGACATGACATTACGTGTGACCAGTTGGTTATATACACATGACACTATGAGACCAGTATGTTATATATACATGACATTGTGTGACCAGTATGTTATATAGACATGACATTATGAGATCAGTATGTTATATAGACATTACATTATGTGACCAGTTGGTTATATACACATGACACTATGAGACCAGTATGTTATATAGACATGACATTGTGTGACCAGTATGTTATATAGACATGACATTATGAGATCAGTATGTTATATAGAGATGACATTATGTGACCAGTTGGTTATATACACATGACACTATGAGACCAGTTTGTTATATAGACATGACATTATGAGATCAGTATGTTATACAGACATGATATTATGTGACCAATGTGTTATGCAGATATGATATAATGTGACCAATATCTTTTAGAGACATATTAAATGGACAGTATTTTGTAAATGATATGACATTATGTGACCCGTATGTTGTATAGACATGACATCACGTGACCATTATGTTGTATAGACATGACATTATGAGACCAGTATGTTGTATAGACATGACATTTTCTCACCAGTATGTTATATAGACATGACATTTTCTCACCAGTATGTTATATAGACGTGAAATGACTTTATATTATGTGACAAATATGTTATATATGAAGTGAAATGACATAACATTATATGGCCAGTTTGTTATACAGACATGACATTATGTGACCAGTATGTTATATAGAGATGACATTATGTGACCAGTATGTTATATAAGCGTGCTTGACACTATGAGACCAGTATCTTATCTTACATGACACGACATTATGTGACCACTACGGTGAAGATAAGCACTCGCAAAACCATAAAAGGTTTGAAAATGTATAAAGATAAGCTCTACTTACGGATGGACAACTTTTTCAATAGCAGCTCAGTTCCGGAAATTTTCTTAAATTACTAGAATGTATATCTGCTTTCTCTTCTAGTTCCTGTTTCTCCAAAATTATACTGTCGCTCAATCGTATTTTCACTTTCGATTTCTATTAAGAACCAGAAAAGGCCGAATGGTACTTAAATTAATGATCTAAACCAGAATCTAATAATGTAGTTTTTATCCAATAATTACATCCGGTATCCATTAAGTAACTTTTAATTTTTGATAACAATGACATGCGAAAGAGAGCAAATAAATTGTGACAATTCATATGATGTAACCAGTATGTTTAGAAGATACAAGGTGATTATTACAAATGTACAAAAGTGATTATATATAGCAGGTGAACATCGACAATGACAGTGCCAGTTAAGGCTAACTGACATCACGTGCGGCCCCCTTTCGTATATATACATGACATTATGTGCCCACTGTAGTATAACGACATGAAATTATGTGACTATTATGTTTTATAGACATTACATCATGTACCTAGTAT